CAACAGCAATGAGGAAAGTGACAGGAAATCTTACAAATAAAATGAACTCAGCACAGAAAATTATGCAGAACAAAGAAACCAGACTATGCATTGCTAAAGAATAATGATGACATGCTGAGTGAAGTTTGTTGCTGTAGTTGTTAGGTGCTGTCCAGTTGGTTCTGACCCCTAGTGACCTTATGTACTCGTACAATAAAATGAAACACTGCCTGGTCCTGTGTCATCCTCACAATTGTTATATTTCAGCCCATTGCTGCTGCCACTGTGTCAATAAATCTCATTGGGGTCTTCCTCTTTTTTTCTGACCCTCCACTTTACCAAATGAAATTAATCACAAAAGGGCAACTATTGTATGAGACCTTTATTGTAAAAATTCAAGATAAGGTTTTCACACTAAAAGAAACATTATTTCCCAGGAGACATCAAGGCAAGTGGTCGAGTCCTCTCAGTGCAAATCCTCTTCCAAGACTAAGACACAATGGGAATACACGCTCTGATTGGTGACCATGCACATCGCCCATAAGCGGAAGTGAGGGAAAGGCAGCAATGAAGCTAAGCCCTACATTGTTCAATGGACTCCTGTGGACCCAGGTGGAGACCTGGTCGGCCAGCAGTGTGGCAAGACCTGGGGACTCATGGGCTCAGAGTCAGTGACACAGCCACGGAGGACTAGAGTGGAGAGCGAAGCATCCAGCTGATAAGAAGAGAGCAGACAGACGCAAGAACACCCACACTTGCAGATAATACCCTCTTGACCTGGCTTCAATGACTGGATGATCAGAGCTCAACCTGAAGAAGACAGAGGAGGAAAAAAGTGTCATCTGATACAATTTGAGGAACTTAACCTACACATATGGATGCAGTAGCTCAATAGGGGAAACAAATCCTTGCTGCAAGAATTATTCCCACCCCCTCCACACAAAGAGTAAACAGAGATGGGCAACTTGGACATTGGCTACCCAAAATGGGGGTTTTTGGTTGGGTGATGATGCATGGACGGGATGGTGGCTGTGGCAATGAAATGATGTATGATGGAATGAATGTAAAACTAATGTTCTCCCATGTAAATTATCACATAATTCACAATAAAACATTCATTAAAAAAAAAAAAAAAAGAAACATTATTTGATGGTTACCAGTGGTTAGAAAGAATGAGGAGTAAATCCGTGGCTCGAGGGTAAACGTGTGCTAACTCAGGTGAAGAGGAAGGCAATATACAAGAAGTAGGTTGACAAAAACAAAAACAAAAAAGAAGAAGTACAAGAGTTAAAGGCAACTAAGGTAAATACTAAAACTGTCATAAACACAATGTAATAATGGTGTCCTGGTGTGGTAACTGCAAGGTTAACAGTTCAAACTCACCAACCGATCCCCAGAAACACTATACAGGGTCACTATGAGTCAGAACTGACTCAATGGCACTTAACAGCAACAATAACAGATAGACACATGAATAGACACACCGATTGGATGGGTGTGGGAGGGAGACTGAGAGTATACCCACAAATATAGATTGGTTTGACAATGGTTATTTGTACATGGGTATTTACTTTTGATGAAAATATATCCATGAATGTGATGGAGCATACAGGGGGGAATGTTGTGAAAATGTCTTGTTGTTGTTATGTGCCGTGGAGTCGGTGCTGTGGAGTCGATTCCGACTCATAGCGACCCTGTATAGGGTTTCCAAAGCTGTAAATCTTAACAGGAGCAGAAAGCCTCATCTTTCTCCCGCAGAATAGCTGGTAGTTTTGAACTGCTGACTTTGAGGCTCACAGCCCAATTCATAACCACTACGCTACCAGTCTTAGACATAATCAAACACCTTGAGGGAATGAGTCATTGGGCCTGGGGGCTTAGGACCATAGTCTTGGGTGACACAATGGTCAATTGGCATAAGACCATCCACAAATTCAGTGTTCAGCATTATACTTTTGTGAGTAGCAACTGACATCTTAAAAGCTCTTGAGAAGCATCTAAGGTGCACCTATTTGTTTCTCCCTGTCTGGAGGAGAGAAGAATAATGAAAATCGAAGACACATGGAGATAATTAGTCCAATGGACCATGGGAATATCAGTCTCCACGACCCTGAGACAAGAAGAACTAGATAGTGCCCAGCTATCACTACCAATATACTTACAGGACTCACATTAGAGGGCTCTGGGTAGAGTGGGAGAAAGTGTGGAACAAAACTCAAAATCATAAAAAAGACCTGGGTCACTGGTTAGATAGAGACTGATAGAACCCCAACACTATGGTCTTTGGTTACCCCTTAGTTCACATTTTGAAAAAAGTATTATAGCAGGACTGACCATAATCTGATCATAAAACATCATAATTTGAAAAGTGAAGTCATTAAAACTTCAAAGAAATAATACTGAAAAGGTGGCAATAAGGTCAATATTTCTAAGCAGAGAATAATCTACTTTGTCTATGTAACTCAAGTAAATCTGCGCTCACTTGCTAAGGCCTATGTTAACATAGTGATAAATTCAAACCAAATGCAAATTAGCTCCACAGCTTTGAAACACACAGTACATTTTTAGTGAAATCTTCTCTAGGCTAGAAAGAGGTTGTTACAGTGTGAAGTAGGTTCCAACTCATAGAAACAGGCTTTAAATCTTTGTGGGAGCAGAAATTCCTACGTTTTCTCTGCTATTCTTCCTTGGACGTCTTCATTACATGTTTTTATCCCTAAAGTCCTACACCACATGGCAGCTGCACACATCTTACTTCTCTCTCCTCTTCAGGCTTCCTTGTCCCTAGTCCCCATTTCCCAAGAAACCCAGCAAGCAAAATTCCAGCTACTATTGGTTCTTCTCTTTCCCATTTCTGCCTTTTTTTTTTTTTTTTTTAACCAAGAGTAAAATTTCTTTACCGAGGTATATTAGTTTCCTATTGTTTTTGTACTAAATTACCACATAGTGGCTGAAAACAACATAAATGTGTATTTAGTCTTAAAGTTCTGGAGGCCAGAAGTTCAAAATTAGTTTTACAGGGCTATCATCAAAGTGTCGACAGGGTAAGTTACTTCTGGAGGATGTACGGGAGAGTCCACTCCTTGCTTTTTCCAGTTTCTAGAGGCTGTCAGCATTCCTTGGATCATGACCACATCATTCTGACTTCTGCTTCCATATTACCTTCTTTGACTTAAACTCTCCTGTCTCCCTGCTGTAAGGACTCACTTTGTGATCACTTTGAGGCCAACTGGATAATCCAGGATAATGTCCCTGTCTCAAAATCCTTTATTTAATTATATCTGCAAAGTCCCTTTTTCCACACACTATAGCATATTCACAATTTTCTAGGATTTGGATGTAGAAATCTTTGAGAACTATTATTCAGCTTACCAGATGAAGGATGAAATTAAGAACACTTATCAACCAATATGCCATTTATGAGAGTCTAACTCTCAGAAAAGTCCTAAATTATAATGCTAGGGCAGGACCCTGGAGACCCTTGCTGTGCTGATTATTTACATTCATTTCATTGACTATAGAAAACTGGGAAGTCTGAGGGAGGAACTGGAGTATCTGAGGGTAGTGATGAGACACACTGGGGCTCAGGGGCAAGGGTTATTTCTAAGCAGTACAAAAGATTTTCAACCTTTTTATATACAACTACACCCATGTGTTTTGAACATGAGCCTGCCAACGCTCTTCCTTCCTTGGATCAGCTCAGCTTTTCTGTTGTTGTGTGACATAAAGTTGGTTCAGACTCGAGTCACCCTGTACAGGGTTTCTGAAGAGCTGTTGGATTTGAATCACTGACCTTGCAGTTAACAATCCAGTGTTTATCCTACAGCATCACACCAGGCCTGCATCACATGTTGTACTTAGTGTTTTACTTGAATGTCTTACTTAAGCCTCACAATAACCTTATGACTAGATAAGATAGTCTGCTTATTTTTTACAATAATATATCCAAGATGATAGGAGCTATGTGTTAAGACCTGGATTTGGACCAAAGCACTTTGTTATAGAAACTAAGCTCTTAAACACTATGTTAGTTCAAGGAGATTCTACTTGGTCTTAAATACAGTTAGAAATATATTGATCATGTCCAGAAGGAATAATATCTACAGAGAAATATAACATTACCTGGAGAAAACCAAATAATTTATAAGTATTTTGGTTTTGGTATTTGAACACATTTTGACAAAAATAAGTATTAAAACTTTTCATTCATTATCTGCTACATTACACATTGCACAGAAGAGATTGACATCAGAAAGTGTTTTTAAAATGAGGATAGAGTGAGAATAAGATTGGGGGAGGGATAGATCTTCAATAAAGTCCCTTAGAATAATTTAGGATATTTATACATCAGACTGTTAAATAAAATGTTAGAAACAAAGATTAATGTTATTTAAAGATGCTTTGGTGAAAAGGTAGAAGCAAATTCTATTTTAATGCTTATAAATTGATAATTACTTAAAATATTCTTTGTAATTTGAAAAATATCCCCTATATTCAAACTTTCCTAAAAGTAAGTCTCTCCTCCTGCCTTTATGATGGGATATAGGATGATTTCAGTTATTACCATAAAAAAAAGTCCTGTAAGAAAGCATATGTTGCCACTTTACTCATTAATGAAGTACCCTTATGAGTGTGTGTCTTGGGTGTCAGAGACAACAGGTAAGATGCTAAGGGAAGCAGATAAAAAGACATCAAAGTGTTTTTGTTTACTTCTTTGAAGTCTTGTAGTATCTACTATGTACTGTGCACACTTTTCAACTCATGCTGAAAATTGGAATTCACCCATTTTTCTTTTTCCTGTCTAAGGTGCAGATGGGGCATATTTCGTTGACTCCATCAATCCCTGCCCCCACGCATTAGTACATGCACACGTATACATAGCCAGTGGAAAAGAAAAAAGAGTTACTCACATTCATCCATTTTACAAAGATTTCCAAGCTGCAATGGGAGGGCTTTACCTCTCCCTGAAGGATGAATAAATAGGTAGCTTTAGTGACAACCTGTTCAGAGTCAAACTGAAGTGAAAACAAGACAAGACCAAGGCTTTGCTCTACTGTTGGCATTTATGGGATCAAGTTCTGGCAACATGGACAGAATAGTCTTCTGTCTGATAGTCATCTTCTCTGGAACAGTGGCCCACAAGTCAAACTCCCAAGGGCAAGATCGTTTGATGATTAGGATGCGTCAACTTATAGATATTGTCGATCAGCTGAAAAATTATGTGAATGACTTGGTAAGATGACTAGTCAAAACAAAATTTAAATAACAGTTTTAATGAATATATAAGAAGTCTTTTGACTTATAAAAATAACTTAGAACTATTATTTTTCCTCTAGGACCCTGAGTTTCTGCCAGCTCCACAAGATGTTAAGGTAAGAACAGTTTATTTCCAAAAATATATTTGATATGAATTTACTAACTCAGTTAAGAAACATGACTATTTAGAAAGATCCTTGATTTTAATGAAAATTTTAATAATGGTTAGAATATTTAGAATTCTATGTTGGTGAATAGTCACTGATTTACCAACAAACTAAATGATAAAATGCTATATTACATTTCTCATAAAATATATATTTATCATCAGTTAGCTTTAAAAGTACTTCCAAGTAGTATTTTTGAGACAAAAATAACATAATTATAAAATAAACCTATGCTATGATCAGTTTCTCAAGCATGAAGAACAAATCACTTTTTAAGAGCCTTTAAACATAAACACTCTTAAGTCCTTTCTGTGATCCCATTTTTTTGTTTTTTATAAAAGTTAGATGCAGATAATAAGATAATAAGCAGAACTCATCTTTTAATAGCAAACTAAGAATAAATAACTAATAAAATAATTAGATTAAACATGTGGAAATCAGGAAGGAATATAATTGCATATACCTTGGTTTAGTGAGTCTTGATGCTTTCCTTCTAAGAGGATCATTTGAAAGGATCATTTTCAATCACTCATCTCATTCTTTTAAGCCATTTAAATCCATTGGAGTCCCAGGAAGACAGGGCCCAGCATACAGGTCAATAGTGCTACATGCTGATCTCTTCCCCTATAGCTTAGATCTGGTCTTCTAGTTAGGTACTCTGAGGGTTTAAGTGCAATTAGGAAAATGTTTTCATTGTCACAGACTTTTAACCGCATAAATAAGAATAACTATAAAAGTGCTGCCAGTAATTAGGATACTACAAGGTGGGAGACTTACCAGGATATGTTGTGAAGAAAACAATTATCGTAAATGACTATGTGTAAAAGTTTAGAAAGTGAATGAGTCACAACTATTGCTTTTCTTTAAAACTCACTCTCTAGCTCTGAGCCTAACCACTCTCATGTATTAGTCCTTTAGTAATAAGCAGCTTCTCAAATGAAAGCAGTGCATTTGACCTATTGGAAAGACTTCCAATAAAGTAAGAATCTTTCCTAATCATTACGTCTAATTATCAGAACATACATTTTTCAGCATCTTGTGCACCTTGTTTAACTGGTGTGCTTTGTTTAACTTGTGCACCTTGTTTAATTGGAGTCTTTTCTGGAGTTTCCTAGCTGCAATCTATAACTTACAAAATATGAAACAAGAGAAATACCTCATTGTCTAACTTGATTTGATCCAGTGGGCACTTCCTTTATATGCTTTGATAATGAGACAAATGTTTTATCTTACGACATGAGAGGATTTTGTCTCAGTTATGATGTATCTGATAGTTTAATCAAGCAATGCTGGCTCTGATACAAGAGTAATGGTACAGCTAAGATTTTTAAGATCTGTTGGTAGGCAAACTTATGCAGACTGAAAATAGTTCAAGGCCACATTAGTATTATATTAAGCATCAGAGTAGAACCTATAAGAGATGTACAGAGAATTAAAAGTTTAATGAAAATCAAACCATTTAAGTATTGCACTTATATAGTGATTATCTTAGTTCTTTATTGGCCTCATCAGGCATCTTTTCTTCTTCTTTTTTCTAATCATATAAATCAGTGGGTCTCAATTAGTGGTGACATTATCTCTCAGAGGATATTTGGCATTGTCTGGAGAAATATTGTTGTTATTGCTAAATGCCATCGATTTGGTTCCAACTCATAGCGACTCTGTAGAGGGTTTTCCAAGGATTGTCACAATTTGGGTTTGGGAAAGGATGTGCTACTGGCATCTAGTGGGTGGAGGTCAAGGATGCTGCTAAACGTTTTTGAATGCACAGGAAAGCCCCTACAATAAAGAATTATCCAACCTCAAACGTCATAGTGCCACTGTTGAGAAAATGATATAAACCTAGAATGTATATAGAGAAAGGTAATCTTGCCCAGTTAGCAAGACTTCCTATTGTGATGACCACAGCTTTCTATGCAAAAGAAGAAGAACACAAATGTAAGTAAGTTAAAAATAGCCACTAAGAAGTCAAATATTTTCAGGTGTTCAGTTGCAGAAAATCAAAACCATATGTGCCTCCTTGCAAAAGGGACATTTACTCGTTCTCTGGCTAAAGGAGGAGTGACTTGTGACTCCTACCTCTGACTCCCTTACTCCCCATATTCTCCAAAAACAGGCAATTCCTTGTATTTTCATGTGCTAAAGGATGAAGAAAACCAAAGACTTTCCCTCAGAGTCCGCAGTCACTAAGAAGCAGTCAAAAGAAGCAATGGGTGTGCTCCCAAATTGTGTCAGATGTGCACCCCTCAGTGCCAGGGTTCCTGAAGCTCCTGAATCAAGATTAATCTCTCCACTCGTCTTCTTGACATATCCTGAATACAGTTAGCAGAGACAGCTCCTCCCCTTCTTTCCTCCTTTGATGTGCATCTAAGGCCAAATCCAGCAGATATTTGTAATGAACCTCAGATTGCCAGGGACAGCTTTGCTTGATTATAGGAACAAAACAGAGCACCAATTTCAGTTTGCTCACTACCACAGGTGAACAAGGAAAGGTGGGTGAGACACTAGCGTCAAACAAAATGCACTTCAAGGTTCAAATGCCATTCAGATACTTTCAGAATGACTTTCTCAAGGGTAAAATTTCTGATCACTGATCTTGACCATTCCTAGCAATATTATCTCAAGGGAGTTCAGTAGGGCCCCCTGCACTTCTTTAGAACCTAATTTTCTTTCAACATATATTTATAATGTTAACTCAGCAAAATGAGCCTCGGTGAGAAATGCTGGTTTCTCAGATCATCACAGTTAGTGTTTTCAGTTTCAGCTGGAAATTTTACCTTTTTAAATATGAATATTATTTTTTTCCAGTAAGTTAAGCCGGTTGTGGTCAAAAAGGAGAGAAAAGAAAAAAAACTTCAACAAACATGAACATGTGGTTTTCAAGGAAAAAAAAGTGCTATAATTAACATTTATAAATAGTTTCTATTAAATAAGCATTTTGGCAAACATATGGAAAGGACTTCACCTTGCCCTTATTAGAGGCAAGCTGCTCTGAGAGAAGGAAGCCAGATAAGTTGAGTGTCAGCTTGTGGCTGTGTATGCAAAGCAAATCTGATGATTTTGTGTCTTAAAGATGCATGTTATTAATCAACATTCATACTGGGTAAGAATATGAGTTGGAAAATGCAAAGCAGGTCAGATGCTATTTTCAGCTGATCGTACATGATCAGATTCAGGTAATGTTGTACTATATGATACTGCCATTGGAGGGACTGGGAAGGATTGAGGTTTCTAATTGTAGGGCAGTGGCTTTCACATACAACATTAGTGAAATCAAGATTTAGCTTCTTCCAGGGGTGTGGCATTGTAGGATAAGCACTTTAGGATAAGGATAACCACCAGTCACTCCTTAGAAACTCCATACAGGGTTGGGACTGACTTGAAGGCACTTAACAACAACAAGGCAAAAACAGTGTCACATACATACATTCACTGAAAGAACAATTATCTTGGATATGAGTTCTTAGATCCACTTTAAAATATTTCTAGCAAGTCAGTGCACCTTTTGCTCTTCCAAAAATGTCCATTTTATCTGCAGTTTGATTTCTAAGATTTTGGTTTGTTCTGTTGAGTTATGTGGCCAAACCAAGAGGTAATCTTAACCATTCTGAGACACTTTTCTTCCTTTCTAAGGGAACTTTCATCCCATGGAATGATCAAGTCTCCAATTCTGTTCCTTGACTGCTTGATTCAGGCAGAGCCCTATCCTAACTGAACTAAATGTGTGAATAAACTATTACAGAAGTTGTGCATTGCCTACCATAATGGTTGTTGTTGTGAAGTGCCATCTAGTTGGTTACGACCCATAGCGACCCTGTATAGGGTTTCCAAGGAGCTTGAACCACCGACCTTGCAGTTCATATGCTTTGCGATCTGGCTCATTAACCCACAGTGCCACACCAGGACTATAGATGTACTGAATCTTAATTATGGAATGTCTATGTTGGCCCTCTACCTTCCACAGAACTTCAGAAGAATGAGGCTTTCTTTGCTCTAAGGCAGGTAAATGTTTCCTCCTTTAAGATGGGAGGAATTTGAAATATAGGCACCTCCATATTTTTAGTCCAAAGATTAAATAGGAGGTGAAACAACTTGGTGCAATGAATGTGATTGAAGATACTGAAGCAGAAGTAGAAAGGACTGAGAATGTCATGTTTATTTTTTGAATAACTGTCATTAACATACACCAATTATTTCTCTTTTCAGAGACACTGTGAGCAGTCAGCTTTTTCATGTTTTCAGAAGGCCCAACTAAAGTCAGTGAATGCAGGAGACAATGAAAGGATAATCCATATGCGAATTAAACAGCTGAAGAGGAAGCTACCTACCACAAATGCAGGAGGAAAACAGAAACATAGACCAGTAAGATTGTCATTTGTCATCTCTCTCATTTGTTCTTGTTAGCCATATCTAGTACATTACACACACACAAAGATACACACACACAAAGATACACTGTTGTTGTTGTTAAGTGCCATCAAATTGATTCCGACCCATAGTGACCCTGTATAGGGTTCCCAAAGAACAGCTGGTGAGCTTGAACCACCGACCTTGCAGTTCAAATGGCTTTGCAGTCTGTTACATCAACACACAGTGCCACACCAGGACTCCAAAGATACATTACACACACACAAAGATACACACACATTTTTAGTAGTAGCCTCTAGTGTCTTTCTTTCATACATGGTACATTTGAGAAGTAGGGTCACTTCTTTTAAGTTTATAGACTTAAAAGTGTCCAGAAACACATTAGGATCTGCTAACGGCCTTGGAAACCCTGTGCAGGGTCACTATGAGTTGGAACCGACTCCACAATACTTAACAACAACAACAATAGTCCCAGGTAGCTAGAAGAAGTTAATGTAGCTTCTCAAGATAAGAAAAGCATTAAGTAGAGAATCTAATTGTGATGTGGTTGTTAAGTGCCATTGAGTCAGTTTCAACTCATAGTGACACTGTATAGGGTTTCCAAAGAGTTGCTGGTGGGTTTGAACCACTGACTTTTCGGTTAGCAGTACAGTGCTTATCCTACAGTACTACACCAGGGTTCTGTAGGAAATAAGAAATATATTCCTTATTATGTAGTTGTTGTTGTTAAGTGCCATTGAGTCAGTTCCAACTTATAGCGACACTGTATAGGGTTTCCAAGGAGTGGCTGGTAGGTTTGCACTGTCACCCTTGTGGTTCAAACTGACCTTTCGGCCTAGTGCATTAACCTGCAGAGCCACACCAAGATTACACAATGTAGCTCGTTACATGTAACTTGTATTCTTGCTAGCAGGAGCTAGATCCTGGTTTTCTTATAAGAAACGAGACAGTCTATATGAGACCAGGATAAATCACAAACTTTGCATTCCTCCACTACAGAATATTATTTTTCTGCATAAAAGTAGTCTGTACTGAATTTAAATGGATAGGTTCCATTACCTGGCTAAAGATGATCAGTAGTTCTTATTTTTTTGGACAATGAGACTTTTTTATAAATCTGCTCTTAATAACAACTCATGAATAATGTCAATACTCATGAGTAAAGAACATGAGTAATATAAGCATTAAACAAGCCAATGGATAAACAATGTAAATTACTCCATTTTTTAAAAGCAGTTATCCTTCATCCAAGAAATTTCCCATATGACTCAAATGAAATAAAATTTGAATCACATTATTAAAGTGATTCTTACTTATTTTGGGTGTTTTGCTTAGTCTTTTCCCAGGCTTCAATGTAGAAAATATTCCTTTACAACTTTTGTCCGAAAGAATGGAGTTAATCAAGTCTTTGAAACCCAGTATCAAAGATGCATAAAATAGTAGAGCTAAAACTAAACTTCGTTTTACAGAGAAGGAAAGTGAGACCTACCAAACAGTTTAAATAACTGACCCCAAATCCTGCAAAAAGTCAGTGGCAGAATGATGACTAGAATATATATTTTCTACCTGTCTATCATAGAATCCCTGGGTGACACAAGGATTAAACCTAAAAAGTTGATGATTCAAATCTTCCCAGAGACACCTGGGAAGACAGGCCTGATGATCTGCTTCTCAAAGGCCACAGCTTTGTAAACCCTACTCTAAACACATGAGGTCTCCACTAGTCAGAAATGATTTGATAGCAACTGACAACAAAATCCTTCAGTCAAATATTCTCATCAAAACATCTTACTAGCATTTGTCTACTAAATAGCACACAACATCCTGGTGTTTGGTATTTAACAGTTATATGAGTAAAGAATACAAGCCAAGAATTTCACAAACACACTAAAAGGAATATAAGTAGGCAATACATATATTTTAAAATTATTCAATGTCACTAATAATTAAGCAAATGCAAATTGAAACAAGAAAATTCTTTTTTTCCGTTAAAATTTTTAGTAATACCCAATAATGGTAAGACTGCTCTAAGTAAAGGAAGATAAAAAGTTTTATTTTTTGCAATGTATATCAAAAACCTTAAAAAGTTTTATCCCTTTTATTCAGTAATTCAACGTCTAAGAATTTTCCAAATGAAATAAGCAAAGTTGTACATAAAAATTATTTATAAAGATGTTCTTTGCAGCATTGTATACAACAGTAAAAACTCAGAAGCGACCTCTGTATCTAAAAATTATAATAGTTCCATCCTCTGCTGGAATATAAAACAATCACTACATATATAATTTTTTTAAGAATATTAAAACCTAGGTAATGCTTAAGATATAGTAAGTGTAAATAAAACAAATTACTAACTAGAGTTAATAACATAAATGCACAGAACAAAAATTACAGGAGGATATACCTTAAATCATTGCAAAGGTTGTTTTTGGGAGTGGAATACAAATGATTTTTTCCATTATTTTCTTACCAATTACATGTATTTCTCAAAGTTTCTTTGGTGAATACAATTTATGTCTTCAGTGGGAAAAGTAAATTTAAATCATGATTTTATTTAATAAGAAAAATGTTTTTCAAAGAATGCTACTTTTCATTGATTTCTAGACATGTCCTGCATGTGATTCTTATGAGAAAACACCACCCAAAGAATTCCTAGAAAGACTGAAATCACTTCTCCAAAAGGTATTTAATGTTACGTTTGATCTTCTAGTTCACCTTTATCTATACTGTGAGCTTTTTATATTTACTTTACTCATGGTCTACTATTTCCACAGATGATTCATCAGCATCTCTCATAGAACCGATGGGATTATGAAGTTCCTGAGAATCTAACTTGAAGCTGGACACTATGTTATATACTCTAAAACAGTAATTAAACTTACTTTTAGGTATTCTAAATGGTGATGTACAAAGTTAAATGTTCACAGTCAGGATTATTTCCCAAAATTACTATGTAATGATACTTATTCTTGATCCACATATTCTGTGTTTGGTCAACTTGAAAAATATTCTACTCAAGTAGAGTCTGATTTCCTATGTAATGAATTTTCAAGGTTTCTTATATTTTTACTTTCTCTTAGTCCTGGTGTGGCACTGTAGGATACGCAATGGACCACTAACCGAGAGGTCAGAGATTCAAATTTTAAAGATTTAAAAAGCTTCAGAAACCCTGTACAGGGTTGCCATGAGTTGAAACGGACTGGACAGCAGTTAATAACAACTATCCATCTATGACATTCTTAGTTGGGGGCAGAAGTGAAATGTTTTCATAAAAAATACAGTTTGGGAATTTATTGATTTTATGATAACTATGATTTAGATTACCACAAGAAATGAGGTCTTATATGATCATAGTTTATAGTAGTATACTTTCACTCAAGCCTAAAAATATAGACATGCAGGGTCAAAGTGAAAAGTGTAACTTCTTGTTTTTGTTTTTAAGGAAACAAAAACCGTGTGTTTAAAAAAGTATTTCTGAAGACTTTACTTTTCATCTCAGCATATAAATATGTAATATATTTATGCACCAAGGAGGAAGCTTTTCTAGAAAACTACTAAAAAAGTCTGACATTTTAATGAAGTTTGTTAAAATATTTAAATACTTTAGATGTGAATGCATTGTGAAACAGACTCTTAGTTTCTTTGTTTTAAAAAGGGAATTGGGTATTATTTAAGAAGTGAGTGTGCTATTACCTTTTCTCAACCTCCAGTACCCTTGTAAGTTAGCATTTTAAGCTTGTGAACATGGCAACCAAAAGCTATGAAGGGTCATACATATCAGGTGTTCATCTAAATGAGAGGTAAAAAATGTGTAGCTCTTTTCTCAAAGTGCTATTATTACCAAATGGGAAAGAGCAAATAACTCCAAGTATCCATCTGTTTCTTTCTTTCATAGTCTTTTAAAATAAAACTTCTATGAAGAAGAACTTACAAAGCATTTTAAACATTTAGGGCACTTTGCGGGTCTTGATAAAGCAAATTTAATCACCTCTAGAAAAATCAGAGACCAACCAAGAGGCTAGAAACTCTGTCCTAATATAAAATAGAATTTTGTATAAGAATTCCAGTCTTTCAGCTGTAGGCACTTCATATCAATTTCAGCAGTGTTTATTCAAATATGAAGTTAAAAACTCTAGGAAAATACAAGTTTCACCAAAACTTATTAGGTATTTGAGAATCTTTCATTATTAAATTGGCTGTGAATGTGCAAGAGGATGAAGAGTGGGAAACACTTTTTGCTGAGAAAAAAAGACCCCCATAAAAGGGTTTTTTAAAACCAGTAAAGATTTAATACATAATTTGAAAATATGTACTAAGGCTAAATTATTTCAACATAACTCAATGAAATATTTTGTCATCATAAACAAAGGATTGTTTTAAAATGATATTACAAAGGAATCTTTAAAATTATCTGCCCAATGATGGGTTGTTCCTGTTGTTGCATGCCATTAAATTGATTCCCATTCATAAAAACCTTATACAGGGTTTCCAAGAACAGCTGGTGGGTTTGAACTGTGGACCTAGCAGTTAGTTGTTCAGTGTTTATCCTACAGCTCCACACCAGGGCTCAGTAATGGGTGGTTGTTGTTGTTAAGTTCTGTCAAGTCAGTTGGTTCTGACTCACAGCAACCCTGTATAGGATTTCCAAGGAGCGACTGGTGGGTTTGAACTGCAAACCTTATGATTAGAGAAGCCCAGTGCTTATCCTATAGCACCATATCAGGACCCCTCAATAATGGATACCCCAAGCAAACTCTAGACTGGCAACTTAAAGGCTGGCAGTTTGAACCCATGCAGAGTGCTTTGGAAGACAGACCAAGAGATTTGTTTACAAAAGGTAAATCTTGGAAACTCTATGGACTAGTTCTACTCTGCACACAAAACTGATTCAACAACAACTAACAACAGCAATGATAATGTGAGCCTTCACTAACCTGAGTTTAAAGCCATGGATAGAGATGAGATGTAAAAGAGCTTCCTACCAGAGTACCAAAGAAAGGCACTTGTGCATCAGCATAAACAAAATGAAGTGGGACTTGATGCTTCATCATCATTGTGTGTTTTTTTTTTTTTTTTTTTT